TTATATAATAAAATTTAAAATGTTAAATTCGGGCATTGATACGTGAGTGGAATCATCATATATAAGAGTCATGAATGAAAGAAAATTATTTTTCTCGATTATTTTTTTTTTAAGAAGCGAAAATGAAAAGAGTGACAAATTCATAGATCTTCTTGGCCCCAAAAATTCGGAACAAAAGTAAATGCACCAAGCGTTCATACAAAGCAGGTCTCTTAGCTTTTTTTTTTTTTTTTGGACGTACGTATATTCTATTTCAGATTCTAACCAGAAGATTGACAGAAGGCACTTCAAATTTGCCCCAAGGACAGAACGGCATTTGATCAGTTTGACGAATCCCGATAATTTTTTTGGTTGGACTTTTACCACACCAATGCTCGAGGGCTGCCCTATAAGAAGGTGACAATCCACAAATTCTCAGTACTATAGCTAAAGCCTTCATCGATGATAAGCAGCAAAATCCACACCCACCATTCCCAGTGGCTTTGCTGCTTTACATTTGCACTTTCTTGATTTTTAAGCCAGACCACTTGACCAGGGAGAGAGAAAATTTTAAAAGCAATTCCACTGGTTTCAAATCTTTCCTTGTTTTCAAGCCACCAAATTTAGTATAGGACACTTTCTATGAAGACATCCAACGCACATGAAAAAAAATATTGAAAGAAGGAAAAAAAAAAAACCCAAGTGCAGAATCAAACCAAACATATAATTATTGATTACTTTCCCCATGCCTGTGAATATGTCATATTGCAGCATTGTTTTCTTTATACTTGATATCTTGTAGAATGATTTGTTTAGCCAGCCACTTGTATTCTGTACTTTTTTCACATCAAACAGGAAAAAAAAAAAGGTTCAGGTACTTTATTTTGATTTATTGATATTCATTATGAACATAATTTTCTTTGAGACTAGAATTAGTGGTTTATATATATATATATATATATATATTGCTTTAGGGTGGATTTGAATGTAATTACACTTTCAATGAGATGCAGTTAAGTTTCAAAAACTTTTGGTGAAATTTAAATGTTAAAATTAATAAGGTGAGTTTCATCAAATGTAGTATAAAATTTTTATTGGATCAGAAAAATCTGGTGAAAATATTTTTTTCGATCACAATTACGATAATTTTTATAATTATTTTTAATTTTATCAAAATTAATTTTATTGTCCATCCAAATAAATTACTAATTAAGTAATACCATTGAAGTCTATCTATGCCAAACTTTTTGTTGGCTGAAGTAGAAGAAAAATGTGATTCCCAACCTCTTCGAAGAGAATTTTTTTTGAAATTGTTTCATTGTATGGTATCCAACAGTCTTTTTTTTTTTTTTTTTATCATAATTGCATTATTTAGCTACCTTTTTGGGCATTGGGAGCTCAATTCGAAAACGCAATTGCAGGCTGAATTGTACTGAAAGAAGAATTGAAATTATGAAGCGATGAGCTTTTAAAAAGGTTTTAAAACATTTCATTAATTTTTACTTATTAAAATGGAAAATGGCGAAAAAGAAGACCTCTCAAGTGGAGAACTATGCTATCCTGTCGTCTAATCACTGATATTAAAGAACAAGTTACATCAAATGTTGCTTTTGTCATGCAAGCACAAAAGATTGCTTTGTGATCACAGCAAAGTTGTGCACAACTTTAATTCTTAGTGTATATCATATTATTATCATTTCCCCTTTTTCAAAAGCATAAACAAAAATTATAAGTCAATTTGTTTTTATAAAGTTCCCATTTCAAGCAATTAATTAGCATGCTTTTGCACCTGAGCATTTAATTTAATTGTAAGCTATATATTCTTAATCAAAACTTAAAAAAAAAATATATATATATATATATTAAATATAATATTTCAAGGTGAATCTATCTATATATGTGATATATTATGAGTGTAATCAAGTTGGAAAGAAAAAGGTGCTAATGTAAGGTCGCTTGCAAGATGGTGACAAGGTGACTGTTTGTTAATATGTTCTTCTCTTTTTCCCTTTCTTGGTGTTAATAAATATTGTCATTCATTTTTTTGTCTTTTTCCCCTAATAATGACTTTGTTATTGCTACTTGGGTACATTATGGATTTGAAGAATCCTTCAGCTATGCATGTGCCAAGTTTTTTTGTGTCATTTGTAAAATTGAAATTTAATTCGATTGATTTATATAATTATTTTTAATGATATTTAATAAATTTAAATTTTAAATTATAATATCTGTAATCCCATTTTTTATTTTTAAATTACGATCTTGTTTATAAAAAAAAAATTTCTAACTAAGCATGCTAAGGTTTTGATATAGTACTTTGTGTGTACTTAGTGATTTTTTTTTTTGTTTTTGGCCTATTAACAAATTGTAGAGCATAAACTTGTGCAAACACAATTAAAAAGCATATTTTTTTATCAAATTGCTTCAAAGGACAATCAATTCATCAATTTTTTTAAAGCTATCTTATGTTTGTCAAGCAATAATGTATAAAAGAGAGCACTTAGATTCCACGAGTAATGTGAGGTATAGTAAAAGGGATGCCATTTGCTGATCAGAGAAAAAAAAAAAAGGAAAGAAAGAATCCAAAACTTCCCACCTCAAAGCATTAAGAAAAAGTGAAGTCACTTCCTACATGACCTAATTTCTACGATGGATGTCTTTACCTGATCTGTTGACACAGATTCTCTCTATCTCTCCCCCTGCACTAACTTCCTACATTTAGGAACTCATTTTGTTCAAAAGGTGCTTTGATTAGTTGGTAATATCTTAATTAATTATCAACGATAATGATGTTGAAATTTTTATAAGTAAGAAAACCATATTCCACGTCTCAGTGCTCATCTACTTAGTGGCAATCATGTATAAAAAAGCATGCATTAACAAATACTTGGTCTCATGCATGGCCACTTGGAAAATCTATTTTCATTGTGTTATGTTTTCTTTGTTTATTAAGGCCGCCTTGCGCAAATTGACACATCATTAATATGTTTCTTCACTTGAGTTTGGTATCTTCATATTTATATATATGTATGTATATATGTATGTAATAGAATCTAAATTAGAATATACTTCAAATACGAAAAGCTCCAATGACAAATATTCCATATTTTAAAAATAGATAAAAAAAATATGTAAGCAAATAGATTTTCACAATCTAAATTCCACTAATTAAGGTTCAAACATTGAAGTGCTATATATAGGAAGCCACTTATGGTTCATTTGGGAACCCGGTTGGAGGTTTTCCAAGTAGACCCTTAATCATATATAATACAACTATTTAAGGTGGTTCAAATATAGCTTTGATAATAAGTAATTAGATAATTTTGTGATTAATCATGTTAAACTTTTAAATTAAGTGATTTTTTAATTAGGTATAAAAAAATTTTTGACTTGTGATTCATAATGAACATCTTTGTCTCATTTATGATTAATTATAGTACATGATATAGTTAAAGTCAAAACCTATATCTCAAGTATATCATTATCTAATATAGTACTTTTTTGGTCAAGCATATCTTAAACAGCCCAAAAGATGAGTGGAAAGAAGAGTAAGATACATATATCTTCATTAATGGATAAAAAAGTAAAGAACTGATGAGAAAGAGTGAATAATAAGGGGGCTAGAAGTGCATGACCTACTCATAATTGCAAGGTTTCAACATCAACAACTTTACACGAAATGCAAACGCAATTCAGACGAGGTTCCCTGCTTTTGCTACAGCTTTGGAATGGGCTAGAAAACCCTTGTATTATTTGCTTTCTGTTAGTCGGAAAATGGGTTTTCCTCCCTGAAGCTACCTCTTCTCCACAAGCATGCATGGATGGCAGTCCTTTTCATTGTTCGGCCCCTTGGAGCAAGGAGAGGCAAAGGAAAAAGGAGTTCCATACCTAGCCATTTGGAGAAAAGTAAATCCACATGTTTGCAACGTATAATTAATGTGGGTCATTACATGTTGAAAGTGAGAGCATAAAAGAGTGACAGCAATGGCGGATACACGTGTAAATTGCTGGTTACTGAGAGATGATTTCGATGATGGGTAGTCCCACAGCCTCCAAAAAAAAAAAAAAGAAAAAAAGAAAAAGAATGAGCTCTTTTTTATCTCAAAATTATTGTGTTCTTCATGATAGACCCCTTGGCTAGTTTTCATTCTAACCCAATGAACTTGTTTTCATTTGGATTACAATCTTATCCAACTTTATATTTATCATCAATTAGTATGGGCAATTTTTGACCTAAGCATTTTAGCTGTATATTGTTCTTACTCTTATTTTTTCCAATAAATGATCAAACGGATAAATATATATATTTCCTCATATATATATATATATTAAATTTTGACGCTTCACAAAATAGACTATATATCCGATATTAGGGTTATTTATATGAATGGGGTCAGTCTTCTAAAGATCTTGTTTGAGACCTAACATTTTCAAAAAGAAAAAATGTTAAAAACTATTAAAATATTAACTATATTTCTAAGTAAAAGAAAACCCCGAAACGACCACCTGGTGAGGTCTAAAAAATGGGAAAGAAAACTAAATAAGAAGCAAATATAGACGTGCACGGTGACCTCTCGCTCATTATACTCGTGGGGTCTCCTACACACTACCAAACTCTCACTTCCCACACCCTGGAGAAGGAAACACTTTGGACTTTTGTTAGAATCAGACACATCCTCTTTGTTTTTGTTTTCCCTGATTATTAATGTTTTGAGTGGCAGGATAGGATCAAAGTATGTGAAAATGGAAATGTATTATTGGAAATAATAAGTACATGAAAGAAAAAAGGAAAAGTGTACAAGAAAGTGAGTGGCTGTCTGCTATCTTGACCAACCATGGAGCTCACTATCCACTCATTTTCGACCACGTGTGACACCAATGGGCGACAACCAGAAGATGCTTGAGGTGCGAAGGTTCGTTATTATTTTTGCCCGGAAAATGACGTCAGTTGTGGGCGTTAAAGTGTGTGTGACACCAATTGAGGTAATGAGTCGCGTAGGTTAAGGGAGTGTGGGGTGCGTAGGATAAAAAGTTTTGCGCATTTTTCTTTCCTCTTTTTTTGTTTTTTCAAAGCTGAAGCATTTTCTTTTGCTTATTTATATTTGTGTTGCTTTAAGTGGGAACACTCAGACGTTAACCTTTGACTGTGGCGTTTTAGAAAAATATATCTTATAGATTTTCCTTTCCCTTTTTCTCACTATTTATTAAGTATTTTTGTTTGTGGGTTGCGTTTGATCTTCTGTTTGCTTTCAAGGAGTGCTGAAAGGTGCTGTTTTTACAGAAACATCAGAGTTTTTTCGAGTGTTCGTTTGGCCTTTCTTTTTATTGAAGGACTTTGGGTTTCGGAAGTTCACTTGATCCATAAGGTCAGTAGTAAAGTTTCTCAATTTTCAATCTTTTTTTTTTGGGGTGGCTTATGAGGAAGTTGAAAATTTTTAAAAATTCAAAAAAAATTTTCTTTTCCTTGTTTGATCACGTTACTTGAGTAAGTTTGTGGTCTGTTGGGTTGCTGTTTGAGTTTTTGCCGACCATGTTCTTGTCTTTGGATTCTCGGTTAATATATGATGGCTAAGTAGGAACTTTGGTTTACTTGGTGGATGATTGGAACATGTAATTTTGCCGCAATTAAGAGCATGAGCTGAGTCTAGTGACTTGCTTTTAAAACCAAGAGCATGAGCTGAATGTAAAAGTCGAGCTGGTAATCTTGTATTTTAGTTCATGATTGTGAAGTGAACTAATGTTTACATGACTCTCTCTATCTGATTATTAGTTGATCAAGTTGCTCTCTATTGGTCTTTCTTTTTAGTTGGAGGAGGATTTAGGCATATAGGTTTCTCTGTCGGCAATATTTGAGGAAGACTAGATTCATATTTTAGTGGCTTTGATTCCTTCTTTTGGTTCTGGAAATGCAATAATGTTGATCTACAGTTTTTTCTATATTCAAAATTCAAATTTTCATGTAAAGGGAATTCTTAAGGCTTGAAAATGTTAAATAAGGCTTTCTCTGTTCTGATGTTCAGAAGGGAAGAGGGAACATCTTGTTTATAACTTTGCTATGTTTCCAGCAGCTGATTTCTAGTTACAGATATTCTTTTAAAAGTGATAGGAATTTCTTTTTCTGGTCACTGTTATTGCCTTTGGAGAAACCTGAAACCTTAATCAGACACAGCTTAATTGTAATGAATACTAGGAAGGGAGGGAGCTCTTAACATAACTCAATTGATTAAGTTCCTCTTTTGTTCCAAAAAAAAAAAAAAAACTGATTATGCCCACTTCCACATGCCGCTCACTTTCCTGTTCCTTAGTTTGTTTGTTATATTGCTTCTGCTAATCTTACCATTGCTGGTTTTGCTTGGTAGTTCTTGGCACTTTTGCCCCAATTTTGCTAATATTGAGGTGATTTTTGTTGCATATTCTTTTTCAGGCATTTTTATCACTGTATTTTTTATGAGCAATGGAGATCTATCCATAGACAGAGGTAAGGAAACTGTGTGAGCATTGTTGAAATCTATGAATCTGCATCCTTGGCCCAAGATCTGGTTGCTACTGTTAGAATTAAAACCCTATTTGTTATAATAAAACAAATGCAAAGAAAAAATTGAACACACAAGACTTAGAGTGGTTCGTTCTCAACAAGAGAGTTATGTCTCTATGAAAAACAAAAAAAGGGAGATTACAAGCGCGGTAATAAACCCTTAAACAAGCAGAATTAGGCCGACCAAGTTACATGTGCAAAAAACTCAAAATACCCTTGATATTATTATTATTATTATTATTATTATTATAATATAAAATTTGTCCATCATTGTATTTGCTAGCATATGCAGGGTAGTAATTGGGCTACACACAACTTAACAGCTAGTTTAGAAGACAAGTCCCATGGAAATTTTGTTCTGCATTCTTCTGGTGCTAAAGACAATCAATCAGCTGTTTGTCTTTTTTTGGTTCTCTGTTCCAGTTGCTTGATAGAGTATGAGCTATCCATCAACTGAACTTACCAGAAGTATGGCAATATATGAGCAATTCCACCAGATAAGCAGGTGGGGAGACACCTTCAATGGTGACGATAGTCCAAATACAGGATCGTCCACAATTGTACAGGTGGATGTTAGGCTAGATAACAAGGTGAAGTTGCACGTTTATTTCTTGCTTGGTTGCTTAAGCTTTTTCTTCCGGTTGCAGGCTATAACTAAATTATTCTGATTTAAATCATAGGCTGAACATATATCTTGTGAGCAAGTTGAACTTTCAAGAAGTGATCAAGAAACAAACAAGCCCTCTGATAAGGTGATGAGTTTGAAGCATCTGCTCTGTCTCTTCCTCCCCAAAATTCCATCCTCCCTTCAAGAACATCTAACAAATGATAGCTTTTTATCCACTATTTATCCACAACTAGCCTTTATGTCATATGTAGCATTTGTGCTTCTGATATGCTTCAAAGCATTTTAATTTTAAGGTCTGACATGAGCATTTATAGACTATTTACCCTTGACTAGCCTTTATGACATAAATAAATTCTGTTCCCATGGCTAAAGTATTATAGACTATTTTTTGAAAAGAAAGTATTAAAAAATCATTTGAGTATGTTGTTCTGAAGTAGAAAATGCTTTTGGTATCGAGTTTTTCAGCAACAGTGTAGTTCCTGTTCTGCAGCCATGTAAAAAAGCTGTTTTACATTCTAAATCTATTAGTACTTCTGGATCTCCTGCTTGTTTCAATTGTATTTATCTTTTTTTTAAAGACACATAACTGTGCAGATACAGAGACGCCTGGCACAAAATCGAGAAGCTGCTCGTAAAAGTCGTCTCCGGAAAAAGGTAGACAGAAAATTCATTCCATATAAAATATTTGCTTATGGTAATTATTTCATTCTTTGGACTTATACAAGTATTTATGATTTAATTTTATCTTATAGGCCTATGTTCAACAATTAGAATCCAGTCGTTTGAAACTAGCTCAATTGGAGCAAGAGCTTGAAAGAGCTAGGCAGCAGGTGAAGTGAAAACTCTCTCTCTCCCCCTTTCTCCCAGTATGTTTTTGCCTTTTATCAACAATGCATTTCTCTATTTTCCAAGAATAAGCATATCTTTTTTAATTAGATTTCTAAATGTGGCATATGTAATCAATTGGGCAATGCCTTAATGCAGGGCATATGCATAAGTGGTACTTCAGATACTGGGTTTTTTGGACTGTCTGGAACCATAAACTCAGGTTTGTGACCTAATCTGCTTCAGTTATAATTATTTGCTTTATGGATTGGAACACAGAATATTTAGCTTCCCAGTATCTTAATTCACTGCAATATATTAGTTTTATGATGAGCAAGATTTTGTCATCTTGTTAGTGATTGTAAGATATGTTACTGATTATTATAGTTCTATGGTTTTCTTCACTAATGTCATGAATGGAAGTTAGTATACTTGCTTGTTTATTAGTTTGTAAAAACAATGCTATGTAAGACTCTAACCTATAAGTTTTAAAATAAATTTTCGATAGTTTTCATTCATTTGGTATTATAACATTCCCCATAATGATATTGCATGATTGGAATGTGGATAAGTAATCTATTTATGATCTCAAACAAAAATTGTATTATTAGTATGAGTCTTCATGACTTAATGGGGAGGCACAGCACTATAATATCTTTAAAACTTTTTGCTCTTTGATATTTCAAATTGCTAGTAAATGATAATGGTTTCTGCTGCCACATAGCAGATGCTCTTCCTTTCTCTATCCAAATTCGAGTTTAATAGAATCCCTTCCCTGCTACTGAAAAGAAGCCTCTTTTTCTTTTATTCTGTTTCTTTACTTTTCCCACCTTTGGCTCTTAGATGTGAATCTTTTAGAAACTTGGCAGAGGAATTAGTAGTCATGCGGTTAGATTATTTGAAGAAATTCTATTTCTCTGTATGATTTCTATATTCTGATCAGAATTTCTCAGAATCTTATGGAAAGATAGGACTTGTGAATAGGACTATAAGAATCCATTTTTATTGAACATATCATTAGCATAGTGTTCTTTTTCACTAGAAAATGATATTTGAAGGTCTCACAATACAAAACACTTCTGTTAATGTAATTTCGTTATTTTTATGTATGATTTATTTGATATAACTTTCAAGAAACTAGACATGTACCTTTTGCTACATCAGTTAGTAATCAATTATGGGTAAAAGTTTCTCTAGTGATATCACATTTTTCTCATGTAAATGTAAAGTGCACGCATCTTGGTTTCTTCTTTAGAATAGTTTCATGTGAATTTTGCAGGGATTACTACATTTGAGATGGAATATGGACACTGGGTTGAAGAGCAAAATAAACAGATTTGTGAACTTAGAAGTGCACTCCAGGCACACATTACTGATATAGAGCTATGCATACTGGTCGAAAATGGCTTGAACCACTATTGCAATCTGTTCCGCATGAAAGCAGATGCTGCAAAGGTGGATGTCTTTTATTTGATCTCAGGCATCTGGAGAACTTCAGCTGAGCGTTTTTTCCACTGGATTGGAGGGTTCCGACCATCAGAGCTTTTAAATGTAATGCTTAATCTCATAACTTTAAAAAAAAAAAATCTGGCAATCCGTTATTGGTTGCCAACTGTGTTGATTGTCCCTCTATCGTTGAATTTTTTGAGCATGCTTCATTGTTAATTATGGTTCATTATTATTTAGCAAGTCTACTATTGCGTTATCATATAACTAATTGTAAATGCATGGATAGGGATCCGGATGTTCCTGCCAGCTGAATAAGTTTAGGCTATACCAATAGTGTGTAAAGAGATTCAACTCAATTTTTCTTTCTGGTCTTTCTCTTCAATTAGTAATTCATTCCAAATTCTCTCATAAGATATCTAGACTGCAGGTTGGAGAGTAGAACCATGGAGAACTGTCCATGTAGGAAATATTTTCTTCTGAGCAGCATGTCCAAATCCTAAAGAAATTGTGCGAATCGGTTGCAGAAACTAGTGCATTTTATTTCATCACTCAGAGATCAACTGTTGCTTCTCATTTTACTTAATTGCATTAGTAAGAGTAATGAGTAAAGTTGAGACAAGTACATATATCCTTAACTATTTGAAGTTTTATTTGGATATTTTCAAGTCATTAATTTCTTTTGCATGGTTTTTGAACTTTAAAAGGGGTTATAATTAGATAAGCTTTACCTTATCATCTTGAGACCCTTTTGTCTATTCCTGGGGATGCCATATATGAGCCGCCTACTGAGGTTAATAACTTCTTATAAAAAACTGTTGTAGGGCTGATGCAGCAATCGTTAAAAAACTTTTCTACTAATGAATTATAATTTCTGTTTGTACAGGTTGTCTTGTCACAAATTGAACCCTTGACTGATCAACAACATTTCGAGGTCTGTAACCTTCGACAATCTTCTCAGCAAGCTGAAGATGCTCTTTCCCAAGGAGTAGATAAACTCCAGCAGAATCTGGCACAGAGTGTAGCAGCTGATTTGAGTTCAGGAAACTACAGAGTCCTGATGGCTGCTGCAATAGATAAATTGGAAGCCCTTGAGGGCTTTGTAAACCAGGTATGACATTACTTTTCATCATCGAAGTTATTGTTCCTTTTATTTATTAAAAAAAAAAAATTTTTTTTATTGGACATCATTACATCAAGTTGTTATGGATTGCTCTGAACCTATTCATTCCTTTCCATCAACATCTATTTTCAATATGGAGTTCATCCATCCTCACAGTCTTATAGTAGTCGCTAGGCACCCGGTATATGCTCCACAGAATGCTAATTAACCATTTTAACTTTTTAAAAACTGAGTCCACATTTAGATTGTTGAATAATCCTCCAGTATATTACCCTAAAATTTACATTTATTTACTTGGTTTTGCATGTGCTGTTCCCCAAAACAGGCTGATCACCTTCGCCAACAGACTTTGCAACAGATGGCTCGAATCCTAACAACCCATCAAGCAGCTCGAGGTTTACTTGCCTTGGGGGAATACTTTCATCGTCTACGTGCTCTCAGTTCACTCTGGTCTGCCCGTCCTCGCGAACCTGCCTAGTCTCTGAACATATAACTTCGAGAACCACCAATCTAGGCTGTAGTCATCAGAAATGTGTTCCTCAACTGGTAAGCAAACGGATTTTTGGAGGCCTTGTTGTATGAACTTCAATATATATATATATATATATATATATCTGCTTATATTGTTTCAAAGAAAAATCTGGAGCATAAAATCTGTAAATATGAATCCTTATACTGTGTACCAGGAAGAACTTTAGGTCATTAAAGTTAGATTTACTGGTATTGTATGCTACCATACATATTGGAAGCCAGAAGAATTATACTAGCAAGCTTGTGATTGCATTATTTTTGGCATTTTTGGGTTATTGAAGTTAAGTGGGACAACATATTTAGCATATTTGATGCATTGAAATTTGCAAACATTATACCATCTGAAACGAAGAGAAATGGGATTGTTTTTCTTTTTTTTTTTTTTTTTTGCTAAAGGTGAAACATTAGCCAGAAATAATCCTCTGTTTGAACCTTCTGCAACCTGGGTTTGGACCAAGGTGAACTGTGGCTCAACCATCACCCCAAAGTTCAAACCCTCTATAGGATTTTAGCCAGTTGATTTTTTTTTTTTTTAAAGAGAAAGATCGGCCATAACCCATGAGCTGAAAACAAATGGAGTACAAAAAGGACACTAAGAATTGTCTAAAAGTTGTGCAAAAATCAATTAAAATTAATTTTGCCTAATTTTTTAATTTAAATGTTAAAAAAGGGCGAAAATACCTATTAATTAGCACAAAAGGAGTTGAAATTTCGGATTCAAACATCATATGAAATAAGTTAAAAAAAGGGCTAGAAGTGACAAAAGGAGTTGAAAAATATAGAGTCGAGGAGATAAGAATTATTTTATGGTAATTTGTATAGTTCAATCAAATTTTAATTACATTTATTTTAAATAAAAAAGTAAATTAATGGAAGAGATTGAATTATTTTATGAACGAAAAGGAAAATGAAAAGAAATTTAGGCAGAAAAAAGCAACAATTGAAAAAACTGAATTTATTTTATGAAAAAAAAAAAGATTCAGTCAGATTCAAAATGTTCGAACCTCTTCACTTCCTTCACGTCTTCTCTCCTCTTTCGGTTTTCAAACTCAGCCCATGCAAAATCCCCAATTTCACCCCCCAAAAAACCCTAAAATTTCAATATTCTTAAATCTTTTTTTTCTTATTTTCTTTAATTTTAATTTTAATAATTCAAACTGATAATCAACCCCCTAAAAAAGAGAAAAAGAGCAATATGCGGAAAATTTGTAGACTGCACACGGTCTTTTCTTTGTTAAATGTGTTGTAGACTTGTAGTAGGCACCATAGAGCTCGATCAAGAATTAGGGTTTCCTTTCGAAGTCCTAATTTTAGGCCATCGTTTTTCTCTCCTTGGTTCAATTTGTCAAGAGATTTGAGCATGAAGGACCCTTTGTTTCGGGTCAATCAAAGGAGAACTGTCGTTAGGGCATCCGATCAAAATCTGCCTATGAAATTCTGGGCAATTAATTTTACCCTTATGCGTATTAGCTTAATGAGAAAAGCTCCATTCCTTTTTTATTTTGGTTATTTGCTAATTGATAAAATATTTTGGAATTTTGATTTCTAAACAACAGAGTTAGAAGGGGATGCTGATGAAGAAACGATTAAGACTGCGTACAGACGCTTGTTCAAATTCTATGCTAATGCTATGTGTCCTTTATCCAGTAGCTCCTTTGTGTAGTAGCTGCAAATGGTACTTTGCGGTATAAGAGGGCTCTTGAAGAAGGTGAAACTGCTGAGGAAAGGTTTCATTAAGATTCAAGCTGCTTATGAATTGCTCATAGATGTGGAGAGACGGAGGAAATATGATATGGATAACCGAGTCAATCCGATCATGTGCTAGAATCTTTAATGTAGGCTGAATGTCTGTCCACAAGGAGTTCAACCAGGGGATCCTCCACATCAGAATCAGTCCGAGTCTTATTGCGGTGAACTGAAATATTCCCATTATTTGTGACAACTGTGACCTCCTCTTTCCGGGTCAACAGCTCATTGGCCACAACTGCATGCATTTTGTACTTTTTAAGAGCCATACTGGCCTTCTCTAGGAGAATCTTTGAATCTGTCTCAAGCTGTTGAGCAAAACCAGATAAATTAGAGCCAATCAACTCATGGTACTTCATACTAAGGAAACATTCATTTCAACAATCACTTTCAATCAGTCCTAAACTTCCAAAGCAAACAATAAAGTAAGTTTACCACCGTGTCTGACCTTGAAAGATATGCAGAAAGCCTTGGGAGTCCATTCCGTCCTCAGCACTGAGAGCATCTTTGGCACTTGCATAAGTCGCATGTCCAAAGGACCAGATGCTGACTGAATCTTGTGTTCTGCCTATGCAATTAATCAGTCTTTTTGCCAAACAATAGAGGGATGGATAAAAGATTATTCAAATGACAATAATATTTCAGTCTACAAAGAAGATAATTCCATTATATAGAACCATTACCATGCCCTTCCATGGAACATAAAAGTCGGAAACCGCAGCAGCCAGATAAAACATTGCACAAGGCCCAAGGCTTCTCATTGATAATGCAATGATCCTTAACATCTGCTCATGCAAGAAAAACCATTCAGGGTATAAGAGATAGTTTATGTAAAGGATGAATTTATGATATTCTCAGATTAATCACAAAAAGTACAATTAAAAGCCATTATCTAATATGACCCTGAAAACTATATAATTACCAAATATGGAGAAAACGTATGCCGCCTCACAGTTTCTCCTAAAATTTTCTTCATAAGATCTCTCTCCAAGTCATATATTCATTAATATAGAGGGGCCATGGCCCTTTTCTGCCAAGGCTATTATAATAGTTCTCTTCGCCAAAAGCAAAGATGGGAGATCGTTAAGCTAAAGCTATTTTAACCAAAACGGTAGCTCACCAATGAAAAAGCATATAATGCAGGCCAAAGTTACAAGTATGCTTAACCATACAATTGAAGCTTCATCCACAAAAAACATATTATGAGTTTCCAAAGGTACAAAGACGCCCAAAAGTAATCTCAATATGTCAAGGACACAGAAGGCAAAGGTTAAACCCAAGGAACATTGTTTCACTGGCAATGAGTCACTACTAAGAACCTCAAGGAGTTATATAAAGACACAGTGAAGCCAACCTGAAGATACTCAAATATGGTTGTAAAGGGTAGTTTCAAAAGGAGACCACCTGCTACAGCCTGCAACAAAGTGCAAAAAGGCTAACTGTAATGCTGATTAGACTTGCAATCATGAACTAAAAGAGCCAAAAGCAACACTAAGGTCAGAGATGAAAATTAGAAGACTGAATGATTAGTCATATCGACAGCCCATACAGCATGATGATCCCTAATGGCCCCCTTCACTGCTTCAGAATGTGGTTGCCGCACTGAAATATTAGACATAACACAATAACCTCAGTAGGAAACACCAACAATTTATTACACATATTTCAGATAAAAGTTGACAGATTAATGTCTTAACACATAGAAAAGCTGGCATGAAATAAACAACTCCAATTCTCTTAATATGATTAACACCCTCCCCCTTCTAAAATTCTTTGATAAAAGTATTTAATAATCCATATGATATGAAAGAACCTATACTAAGTCCTAACCCAAGATAGCCAATTTAATGCATTCAAGTCATTGACCAATATCAAACATCAACGAACCTTGAATATACCCCCCCCCCCCAAAAAAAAAAATTATAAATTGGGGTAGAGATAATCACTCAAACCTTGAATATCAAAATCATCAACGAACTCAAAACATTCCAGCAAAGGATCTTCAGGAAGGGACCCGCAATATGGCTGGCAGGTTCCCCTGCACACAAACAAATTAAGAACCAATAGAATTATCCGCTAGAATCTAAACACAAACCAACATAACCTACTAATATAAAAAAAATAAAATAAACAAACACGAAATTCACCTTCTATACAAAAATATAACCGCGTATCCAGCCTTTATAAAATACCTGCAAAAAAGTCCCAACCAGTTAACAAAAAAAATCCACCCTTCAATTAAATATATCAACTTATCCAAAATTCCTTTACATTGCTTACTCTGTGGAAGCCGCTCCTCTGTTCCCTGAACTAAAATTGTCAATGTATCGAACACACCGCTGCTCTAGAGGAACCGTAGTTCCACCAGATGTCACGCACACAACGCTCCTCCTTTTTCCTTCTCCTAAAAATTACACGGGATATATATACGTATACGTATAAGTATACGTATACATGAATACGGTAGCAAAATGCGTATAATTAGTCGATTAGTTTGGAGGTTTTCTACCTGATGATGGAGAATTTAATTCGATGAATTGATTCAATTTGTCAGTGATTTTAGCGCAATCTTTGAGTGGAGGAGCTGAATCGAAGAACGAGTCGATCTCCTCGTGAAGAGCTGAGGAATCCATTTCAATTCCCCTAAGATAAAATTAAGAACAAAAAAAATCAATAAGAAGATGCAAAAGGAAACCATAACTGAATTGAACTTAATCGAAATTTCAATTTTAAATTAATATAAAAGGAGGCAAAAAATATTTTGGGAGAGAAATTGACCTTAAAAATAAGAAAAATCGAGGAATAAGAGGTGAAAGGAAAGCGAGTGCTGAGCGTATATTTGAGTAAACATTGGCAACGGCGTTTGCTTATAAATAGGAGGATCAGAGATTCAACCAACTAATGTTTTGTGAAAAAAATATTTAAAAAAAAAAAAAGTGGCAAGGAATTTTAATAGCCGTCTGCTTGCGCCACTGAAATGATTTGTAGATGGGAGAATCCTAGAATGTGATTGAGAAAGCAGCCAACCTCCACCGCACCTAATTTTTTCCCCCCAAGTTTCTTTATTTTTATTGGCGTAATATTAAGAAATTTTAAATTTTTAAAAAATTCACTTATATTAATATAAAATTAATTTAGTTCTATATTGATTTAAATTTGTTATAATCAGTTGATCTAATCCTTGACTTTTGCGTTGTATTCACGTAAATTATGCATATTAAACTTTTACTTAATTAAACTATTTTATTATTATATTATTTTATAGTAATAAAATATTAAATTAATTTAAAATTATATACACATAATAAATATGAATAAATTATCGTATATATATACTATTTTTAAAACTCAAAATTAAATTCACATCAGATGACATCAATTCAATTAACAAAAATTGTTTAAAAAATTTATTTTTTTATTTTACATTTATATGTATTTAGAAAAATTATCCATTCAAGTCATCGAGTAACTTCTTTTTCTCTAGATAATTTTCTTTTTTTTTTTAAATATGCAAATGGAAAAAATTAAAAAATCAATGATCAAAGTGAAACTAAAATAAAAGATAGGAATTATGAATGAAATTTATCGGGAAAATGACTTTTTAGTAATTGTTTAAATATAAAAGAAGTGGGGAGAAATTTGAAGGAGTATTCAATAAAAATTTATTACAGTCCCTCCAATTAAATGTTAACCAATCTCGCTATTTTTATGGAGCACAAAGCTGTGGATTTTTAAATTGAATAAATCAGTATTAGCGGCTTTAATTTCATTACATAATAAATAAATTATTTCAAAAAAATAATAAATTTGCAATCACGACAACTTTGTCGGTCACAGTCAGCAAATTTTCAAGTGTGACAGTAGAATGGATAATATATTTAATTTAAGTAATTTCTATCCTTTTCTGCTGAAGTCAGGTGAAAATTTTGGACTGAAGTTAAAAATCCCTTAAATTTGAATTCTTTTTATTACTCATTAAACAATTTATTTTTACTATAAAAAAAGGATACAGTCAAAAGATATAAAAAGAGATTTCTGATAGAATTGATCATTTATAAATATATATATAAAATATAAAAATTATTGTATCAAAATATCTAAATATAAGATCTACTTTTTAATTTTTTAAAATCAATATATATTTTTTTATCAAAATTTTAACTTGTATTATTTTTATATATTTTTTGTGTTTTATCATCCAAAATTATTAAATTCATTTACATATGTTAAAATTTGAATTGTAATATATTAAATGATATTTTTTAAAAAATAATTGTATGAATTAATTTAATCGAATTTAAACAATAAATTTTAATAATGTAGATTTTCCATTTTTGGTAATACTTGAAATTAAAAGGAATTTTCCTTAAAAAAATATTAAAAAGAATTTTTGGTTAACACTTTTAAAAAAATATTCTAATGAATATTATTTATATAATTTTAATAAAAATTTAATTAAAAAAACTTAATACAAGTATTTATAAAAAAAAAAATTTATTATTTTATACATTGTTGAGAAGAGTTTTTAATAAAATTTTTATTTTTAACAAGCCGTGCCAAATCTCTAATGTTAAGTTACTATTATTACTTTATCTTGGTTTAGGTCTTTATTTCGGTTGGCTTTTTCTGGAGCCCAAATATGAAAAATTTTGCCCGCTCCAAGAAAGCCCCTCTCCGCATAAAAAAATGAAACCCACATTGAAAAAAGCGGGATTTGAACCCGACGTGAATCGAACACGCAACCTTCTGATCTGGAGTCAGACGCGCTACCATTGCGCCACGGATCCACACATTGTGCTGTGGCTTCATTTATTATTTATAATTATAAAATTAATTTCGAAATAATTTCTGGGCAATGAAAATTCCCGCCAAACGTAACCGTCCAGAGAGAGAAAAACCTCATTCCCTTCCACTTCTGTAACAAAAACAGTTGAATCTTAATTGGCTTTTCACAAGTGACCGCAATAACCTCCCAATTCACTCAACCTTTTTTCGTTTTCTGTGGTTCTCTCTCAATGGAAGAAGAAACCCCAGCCAATAAGCTCCATACCCAGATCGAAATCAAGCCCCAAGGCCAAGAACCAGCGCCATCCTCATGCTTCAACAACCCCGAAAACAATAATCATCCAGAAGGGAAGTTTCCGTTCTTCAAGTCACGATACCGCCAGAGGGCATCAGACACATGGCTCATCTCATTCTTCGTCATCCTCCATCTCCTGGCTTTTATAACCACCACGCTCTTCAACTATTTACCGCTTGGCAGTGTCTTCTTTCAGCCTCTCTCTGAGAATCCCCTGCTTGGTCCCTCTGCTTCCACGTCAGTTCATTTCACTTCCTTTTTTCCTTGGTTTTTTCTTTGTTCTTGTGTTTTAATTCTCTTGTTGCTCTTTGAATCTTGACGTGTTCTAATTTGATTGCCGTTAGTAACTTACTAAAAGTTTTTGGCTTTTGTGACCTTTTTCTGTGTCATTTCAAAACAATTTTCGTTGAATTGCTGTTTCAGGAAAAAGAAAATGAGGTTCCGCTTCTGGTTGTACTTTAAGACCATGTTTCGTGCATAGGATGATGGATAGGATAGCCTATTATCAATTTTGGTTTGTATCTAAAGAAATGGATAGGATTGGCATAGGATGATTGAATCCTTCCAAAGTGGAGAAAATTATTTTTAATCTATGAGATTGAACTTACATGTCCTATTATATCCTTAAAAATTCTATCAATTATATAAACTTTTAGAAATGATAATTTTGATCAACAAATAAATTATCCTATCGTAATCTTTGCACACATCAAAAAACCAAGATAGAAGGACATTATTTAATATAATCATATTCATAATATCATCTTATCCCATCCTATCTTATCATAATCTTGTGCACCCAACACATCCCAAGTTTATTGGCCTTAGTTTTCTTGCTGAAATCATGCTTGTACTATTGCCAGGCTAGATAAAGTTGGGGCACTTCGAAGGGCATTTTTGGCTCAGAACCATCAAACTTGGCGTCTCTTTGTGTGCCCCTGGTTACATGCTGGGCTCATACACTTTGCCATCAATATCAGCTGTATGATCTTTGTTGGAATCCACCTAGAAAGAGACTATGGGCCTTGTAAGAGCACTTCTCTCTGATATAAGTAAAACCGTTACTTTGTATTGATCAAGTGAATTGGCTAAAGCTTATTGTTTTTAATTTCTGTTTGACAGTGAGGATTGGGGTAATCTACCTACTATCTGCATTTTTTGGTAGCTTGGTATGTTCCCTTTTTGTTCGAAATAGTCCTGTGGTTGCTTCCTCTGGTTCTTTGTTTGGATTACTTGGAGCTATGCTTTCTGGGCTTGTTCGGAACTGGAAAGTTTACTCAAGCAAGGTGCTTAACTCTCTTTTTACTCGCTTATATCTATATCCAGTCGTCCTTGTAGTTCCCTGATATTTTGTGGTTGACTTCAGTGTGCAGCTCTAGCAGTGCTTTTTACAGTTTTTGCGATCAATTTCCTCCTTGGTCTGCTACCATACATTGACAATTTTGCAAATACTGGAGCCTTTATATCAGGACTTCTACTCGGATTTGTGCTTTTGTGCACCCCTCAGGTCAGGCAAATGTCTAAAAACAAAGCAGGGCTTTTTGAATATGGTGTCAAAAGTTCCATCAAACTGAAGCTGGATAGGCCCATTCTGAGGAGTGTTTATCTTCTATTGTTTCTAATTCTGTAAGTTTTCTTCACCTAAATGTCAAGCTGAATGCTTTTATTGTTTATATTTCACAACGCATTAGATCATATAGAACTCGCTTCTTTTTTGCAGACTTGTTGGATGTCTTGTAGCAGTACTCCTAGGCATTGACATAAATCACTATTGCGGATGGTGTAGATTCGTTGACTGTATCCCTTGCAAAATGTGGAACTGTAATGACAGAACAAATGCATGTGAGGTATATATTTGATTCTTGCTTGGCTTCATTTCGTGATGATTACTATTCCTCTTGTCATGGTGGACAAATTATCTAAACCCACAGTGAAATTCTCCTTTTTAATCCATATAACATGAAGATATGAAAACTACAAAAACTAATTTCTATTGTCACCATTAAAGGTTACCACATCTTCACCATATTGGACTTCAAGTATAATAATACAACATTTTTTTATCAGAATGTCTTATCATCTCCATTGAAGCATCTTCTGCACAACGTAGGTTGCATTTACATGTAATAACAGATAGCTCTGCTTGCTTACAACGAGTGTGAAACAACTAGAATACAAGAATTAGAAGTGTGAAAAAAAAAAACTTTCTGTTAGTAATGGACTTTAAATTACAAGCGGTTGAAGCATGCTTAAGAATTTGTGTCCTTTAAACTGCATTCTGACTTGTCCCCATGCAACTGCTTCGCTCAATGGTCTATACTAATGTCTTGACATGATAATTGCAGATCATGAATAGCAACTCAGAGTTGACACTGACCTGTTTGCGTAACGGAAACTTCAGGGTCTTCCCTTTCACCAACATTTCACAAGCAAGGATAACAGACTTGTGCGCCATGATATGCTGATGAACTCAAAAGAAGTACCAACAAAATATGGACTCAATTGAGGCAAATGACCTAATTGGTTGATGGAACATACGGCTGGAATATCCAGTGTGTTTTCAAGACAATGTTCATTACACGTCAAAACGGCTATAAATGATCAAACTTTTTTAGATTGATTGATAGAATTCATACCATTGACAAGCATATTCATTGCTTCTACCAGTTTTCTGAACATGTGGTGCTTCATTCAGTAATAGAATTCGTAGATGTTGATCTGTTAATGGGAATGCTGCAACTAAAGAATTTTCTTTCTTTGCCTTCATACTATTGCATATGCCTTTTTTTTCTTGAAAATTGGCATTTTAACTCTTTTCACAATGATTATGAACAAATCATTACACTGTGCTTAGTAAGAGGGAAATAACATTACTAGAGAAAAAGATAAAGCAGGGATCTCAAATATGGTTTTCAGCCTTTTTCCCCCAATAAAATTTGTTGTCGTGAAAGTTGTGGACAGAAGTTCAAACATGCTAGGAATATTGCACGGTTTAATCTGTAGAACGAGACACAAGAACAAGATCAAGATCAAGGTTTAAAAAAAAGTGTTATTCAAATCATCACTTGATATTCATTATTCAACCTGCATGGCTCCCCAACATTACAAAAGGCTAGTAGAATGAGTATATATATTCAATGTTGTAATTCATGGTTCAACCCAAAGATTATCATGCAATTAACAGTAATGATCCAGTTTTCTAACTACAGGAAGGGTAAGTTCATTCTTGAAACTTTAAAATGGTCCTGATTATATGTTAACAACTATCAGAACAACCTCATTGCAGAAGAAATAATTGAAGTTTTCTGATTCCCTTTTGATATTAAAAAAAAAATTTAGGGGTGAAACTTCGTTGGCGCCTGTGTGCTAATTGATAAGGCATCTGATCACATGATTGGGTTCAAGTCCCACCAACGTGCTCTCATTCGCTTCACTCCTATAATTTTTTTGTATTTAATTGCTTATGTTTAACCATATGATTGGGTTGGTTGCTTATTTGCCAAACACAGCGAAGTTGAACAAAGAAATTCAATCAAAAAACCTATATCAAATACTCAAAGAAACACTGTCTGGCTGGTTGCTGATTTTCCAACCACAAAGATCAATTTTCTTTGGTAAATCAGCTTACAAGCAGGCATTGTTTGAAACAGTCTGGTCAGTGGTCACTTCGTTAGGTACGGATCTACGAACTCCAAACTCTCTCCTTTTCTTTGTTTTCTTTGTTTCCCCTATGCTTCTTTACAGAATCCTGCATGCTCTTATGTCATTAACATCTAATATTCTAATCTACAAAAGCATTTAAAATCATAGTACCAGATAAATAAATGCTTTCTCTTATCATATTATTATAAATTAAAAACAGTAGTTTGAAAAAGAAACCACAATTATCAGCCAAAATGAAGCTTAAATCCATAGAAGTTTTTCTGTTACTATATGATGATGTACTGCACAGACCAAATTTTAAACATTAGATTCTTCTTTTTTTTAACTTTCTTTCTGGGTTTTCAAAGAACATGATTACATGCAGCTTTGAACTACAATGGCCGCCCTAAGCTTCCCCTAACTATGCCATTAATTAGGCCACCAAGCCGCAATGCTTTTAAACATAGGATTTTCAGTTTTGGTTTAACACTTTCATAATAATATGGGGCTATAGCCTTAGCTTACCCCATATTATTTTTTATTGGCTCCAAAGTTTTGCCTCTGCACAATTTTCAATCGCCTAGCCCTAGGCCAAGAAAAATAACTCTGCTGCTTTTTCTTCCCTTTCTTTTGTTTGCATTTTTTCCCCTATTTTAAAATCTCGATGAATTCAATACTGCGGCTTTTTTCTGTATATACTCAATGATAAAGAGACCCACTTTTTGGTTTTGGACGGAATTTCGGCTTAGAATTCATGACTTATTGGACCATGGCTTGTTAGGCCGAAACCATAAATCTTGGACGATAGTCCCTCAGCTCCAACTTAAAACAATAATTACATATAGTCCACTAATTCTTGAACATACATTTTAATCAAACCCAGCAGCCTTTAGTAGTACTAATGTCCTTTTTTTCCCTTTCTGCATCTTACACCTGGCCTGTCATTGATGCCAACGGGAACTTTCAGCCATGAAAAAACATTCATGGGAGGCCATTTGTCACATAACAGCTCAAGAAAAAGACCAGAAACAGTGTGTCCCTTACAATGGGCTAAGATTTACTGTTTCTTCTGACTTTAACTGACGGCACTTTCATTTTTTATTTGAGAATGACTTGCGGGGATTCCCGAAAAGTGAGATAAGCATCAGCTCAAGTTAAATTGCATGGTAAGCAGCAACCTATTACATCGTGATTAACTATTTTGGCCCACTTAAAAACCCCTTCTGCTATGTGTCTAAATCTGGGACACAAACAAAACATGTCATTCCATCTTTATCCCTGAAAATATATGGTGGAATGTTTTATTGCCTTGAGTAATTCATCGCCTGCAGAAGAATGACTTTGAGTCCCAAGGTTTTGTTTTTAAGGAGGTTGAGTTGGTGAATTGCACACTCCTGGTCAGGATCAGCAAACATGCCAGCTATCAAAATTTTATTATGGCTAACATCTTCCACAGGACTTTAAGCACCACATTGAGGGTTCCAACCATTAAATTTAAAACATGTGGCTTGTACCCACTTAGCAGATGATGAGCTAAGTTCCTCAATCAATTTGGAATTGCAAAAAAAAAAAAAATTCCTACTAAATCGAAACTACTACTAACAATACATTGCTATAGATGTTTAGTTGATGGTTCAAGGAAGCTAGAATTTTAGAGTGCGCCCTCTTTTAGGGGATGACAAGGGCTAAAATGTACGATGTACTGGTAAGGAATCCTGAAGTGGAGTTTTTGGCTAGTTGAACCAAAAAGAAAAGGGAAGGAAAGAAAAACTCTCCTCTCTCCCTCACCATCAATCAATGTTGGTCAAAGAGGAGAAACTAGGGTATAGAATCTATTCCCCTAAAAGAATTGAGCCAATTGGCCTTAAATTTTGGTAATTGGATCCTTTCTTCTCAACTCATATGATCATTTCATCTCCCTGGCCCCGACTTTTTATTCTTTACCAAAGTCATGCTAATTGGTTGAACTCATTTTTGCTATCCTTACTCTCTACATGTGAGAATGTGCATCTTAGGCTTGGAATAACCCTCACTTTCCCTCTTCCTCACCTTTGTTTAAATCCAATTTTGCAGACATCCACACTCATGGGCACATGTTTGATGGAGAACAGATCAGAAGAAATGTGAATTTCATATTGTAATTTACCAACTATATTTTGTTTGTCTAGATTTATGCCGTTTATGCCAATAGTAGAACAAAGACAAATTTCCTACGCAATCTCAAGCATTGGCTTGAAAACCCATATTGAAACTCCATGCTCTTTGGTCATGTCAATATGATGTATTTGTGGCCCACTTTCCTTCTTGGAAAAAGTTGTTCACACTTGCACCTCACATGATTAAGGATTTTTTATTTTGTTATAACCACAGAAAATGAAGATTTTATGTTCAAATTTTTTGGTATGTATTAACTAATAATATACTTAATGCTAAATATCTATTTTAGAAATAAATACTTCTAAATTTTTTTCTTTATTACTTTAGATAAACAAAGATTACCCATGATTTAATTTTATTAACATGACATAAAGAGATAAGTTAAATAAGAAAACCAAAAAAAAAATTCCATGGTGGTTGGACTTTGTATAATTTTTTTAATAAAAAAATCACAATACAAAGATGAAAAAAATTACAAACCTTGAAATTTAAATTTTAAATCTATTAAATCTCATTTTTTAAAAAATAATTATATAAATCAATTAAATTAAATTTTAAAATCGATCATATATAATTTATCTTCATCCCATCTCAAAAAAATAAACTTTACAAAAAAAATGCATAAACATTTTCAAACTAAAAAAGGAAACCACAGTTTACATGTTGTATACTTGGATCATCAAACTTAATAATTATGATTCAGGAAATTACTAAACAGGCTTCAAGAGGACTCTGAGACTAGCACTTGAAATTTTGATTGTAAAAATTTCAAAAGGATGGCCCAAGGGCAAAGAAACCTCCTACCTTAGAAATGTTCAGCATATGAATTATGATTATGAATCCAGTTGTGTGGTTTTTGGGTTGACACCTGCCCTCTAAATGTTTTAGGTAATAGCACTTTTACCAACCTCCCCTTTTTTTTTTTTTTATTCTCTTTTTCTCTTTTAAAAAACAGAGTCAGCAACTTAATTGCCTTCTGTTTCTCATAATTTTGAGCACTTTCTTTTTCTTTCTTTGCATCAAGACAATGCTATCCTTCCAAGTTCAAACTCATTTCTCTTTGCATTAATTTCTAAACAATTTATAAGGTAAAAAATTCACCATTTATAGAGAAAGGTTAATTTTTTTTAAATTGTTATTTTATATAGTTAGTGAAATTTTAAATTTATAAACGAAATTAAAATATTCTATTATTATGTCTTTTTAATTTATTAATTTTTTAAAATATATTTTTTAAAAAAATATTTTAACTTTTTAATCTTGTTGATGATGTTATAAAATTTTAATAATAATGTATTATATATATATATATATAAGTATATCTCATGAGAAGGAAGTAGAAGGTTTTGATTCGAAATTAAAATTTTTATATTCTTTTAAAAACTTTTTAATTATTAAATCAAATAGTTGATGGCGTATATTTTTACAATACAACAAAGAATCGATGTAAAAAAATTTTTCATTTTTATCGACAGAATGAAAATTTTCTAAATTCTTTTTTATAGTCAATCTCTAGTACATATATTTACATATTAACAAGTCAAAATCTAATCTTAATATTCAAATTTTAATTAATTCATGTAATTAATTTTAAAATATGACATCTTGATAAAACTAATATTTAGATTTTAACATTTGTAATTTTTTTTCTTTATTCTACAACTTCTTTTATGTTAAAAAAAATCTAATCTTAAAATTTTTTGTCTAATTTTTATGTAAATGTAGTTTTCATTAATTTTAGAAATGATTGATGATTTTTTTTTTTTTTCTGAATGTGACTAAAGAGTTCCATTATTTAGGTCTCTTCCAGGAAAACAATTTGGGCACATTTAAAATAGGGAAGAAAATTTACCTAAATTATTGTTGATGGTGAAATGCCAATTGAATCAAAGGGATGGCCACAGTGTAGTTCAGAGTTTGCAGAGAAAAAGATTGGTTTATCATTCAATTCCGTCCGGGTTGTTTGCTCAAGTTATTGTCATGTCTTCATGTTGAGTTTACTCAAATCCTTACTTCATGTACTATGTTTGTACAACAATGAGACTTGTCAAACCTTTGCTTTCCCAATTGAGGCCTTTTGTTTCTCAAAAAAATAAATAAATAAATAAAATTAGAAAAATCACCTAATTTTTCCATATTAAATTGTTTCAATTTTATAACATTGTTTAAGAGATTTGAATTCAAAATTATTTTAATTAAAATGATTTATTACTTAAAAATTATTATCTTTTGCACCAAAGATAATTTTTTTTTTAAATTGATAAATAAGTTGAATTCATTCAAGTAATTATTGTATAAAAAACAATATAATTGATGTCTCTGTTTCCTATTTGTAAAAAGATGTAAATGTATTAACAAGAAATTAACTCTAATTAGTACGATCGTTTTATTATAATCATTTTAAATTCATAATTTATAATTATTATTTTTTAAATTATCAAATAGATATATTTTATTTTAATTTAAAATTTTAAAAATTTTATTTATTTCGAAATTTTTTAAATAAAAAATT